CATAAACACATTTCATTACACCAAATACACAAAATAATGTTCTTTTTAGCAACATCATATGACCCCTTTAACATAAATGCACAATCCTCCGCCTCTGGTTTTGCTGGAGTCATCTGCCGTCCTATCTGCCCGGAGCATGTAGCATCCGGCTAGCTCAATAGTATTATTGGGTACGTCGCTGTTTAGCCATGTTTCTGTGAAAACCATGACATTGCAATCCAAAAGTCTCTTACTGTGGGTGATGTGAAGTCGTATCTCGTCCATTTTGTTCACCAATGACTGCACATCTACTAATGGCCGCATGCAGTTCGTTCATAGCAAGCTTGGCATTAGCATCCGGTGGAATATAGGCTGCAGTTATAATGGTGGAAGTGAACTCCCGTGGCAGATAAAAAGGTCTACACTTAACCGTGAGAAACTCTAGGTTAGCTGAGCAGTGTTTCCCAACAATGACAGAGTTCGTACACCAAGCTTTGTTAACATAAATGCACAATCCTCCGCCTCTGGTCTTGCCGGAGTCATCTGCCGTCCTATCTGCCCGGAGCGTGTAGCGTCCGGCTAGCTCAATAGCATTATTGGGTACGTCGCTGTGTAGCCATGTTTCTGTGAAAACCATGACGTTGCAATCCAAAAGTCTCTTACTGTGGGTGATGCGAAGTCGTATCTCATCCATTTTGTTCACCAATGACCGCACATTAGCGAGGAAAATGCTGGGTAAAGAGAGCCGGAGCGGTGTTAGCTTTAGCTTAGTTCTTAGCCCACCGCGCTTACCCCGCCTTTGTTTACGATCACGACGCCGCCTGGGAGCACTTCCGCCCGGCCGGGTAGAGTGCGTAGTCTCGGGTGTTCTGGAGATCTCAGGGATGAGTCGAGGATTGGTGATAAAAACTGTTGGAAAATTGCACACCAATATCCAAAAGCTCCTGTCGGGTGTAAGATGTTAAGGCAAAGCTGTTCAGTGCGAACAGGCCTGAGATACTAAGGAGGAAAAATACTGCAAAATTGCAAAAACTGGAGAGACGCTGAGCCTCGCGATGAGTACGCGCCGCCATCTTGGTTATATATATATATATATATATATATATATATATATATATTCTTATACTGTATATATTCTTATACTCTTATCATTGTTTAGATTTTGAATATTTTTTTTATTTAAAATTTAAATTTAGGTAAGATTTTAGCAATTGTTTTGGTCAGTTAATCAGTTCATATTTATTTTATTTCAGGTAATGAATTTATTTATTTATTTGTTTGTTTTTTTAGTTATAGTTAACTATAATAACTGTGATATAGTGAGGGAAAATCAAGATAATTTTTATTATGCATATCTTTGTCAAATAAGCTCTAATTTTGTTGGATAAGATGAGAAAAATAATTTAATTTGATTTAATTAGGATACATATAGTGCTATCTATAAAATTAGCTTTAGCAAGTCAAAGACATCTACCATTTTATTGCAAAAAAATATTTAAAATGTCATTTCCATCACATAATTCAATACATAATTTGAGATATGGTGGAAATTATATATGTTGGTTCAGAGAAAATCCCAGAATTCCACTCTCCACTGTTGGCCACAGCAAAATTAAATAAATAATTTAGTTGGATAAGATGAGAAAAATAATTTAATTTGATTTAATTAGGATACATATAGTGCTATCTATAAAATTAGCTTTAGCAAGTCAAAGACATCTACCATTTTATTGCAAAAAAATATTTAAAATGTCATTTCCATCACATAATTCAATACATAATTTGAGATATGGTGGAAATTATATATGTTGGTTCAGAGAAAATCCCAGAATTCCACTCTCCACTGTTGGCCACAGCAAAATTAAATAAACTAGTGTAAGTGTTTCGTAAGTGAGTTTATTTTCTAAAGGTCCACATGACTAAAAGTGGCCACAGAAGAAACACCCATATAGAGCAGTGTCTTGGCCTGCACTTATGTTGTCTATTATCTTGGTTTCCACAGAAACATGACACATAGCACCACAATCTGAGCCTGAAATGACACTCATTCACTGATTCCAGAACTGAATTACACATCGCTGGAACACCCAGCACCTCTCAGCACATATACAGAGACATTACAGATATGCATTTAGCTGGGAAATCGGATTACTTTGTCGCACAAGGCAGCACATCTGTCCCATGCAAATTGCCCCATTCGCACAGAATGTCTTCACAGTCTGCAAGCACTATATCATTGGTCATAGGCAATGAGCTGATGATCCACAGGCAGCCAGCCAATTTCCTGTATCATGGCATAAATCTCAAGCACACATGCAGCTGTCTATAGCAGGCATTGTTCTCATAGCACATCTCACCCGGCTGCCATCTATTTAAGGAATTGTTTATGCAGCTGTATTTAGATCCACCTTCTGTTTTATGGATATCTATGAGGTTTTAATTTGGCCTCGGCTGGGAATTTTAAACCAGGATTAATCTGTATGGTTTGACAGGCGGGAATGATCATTATTTACACTTGATTAGGAAGGTTTAGTATTCAGACGACTGCAGCGGTAATGTGGCAGTGTCGCATGGGCACTCGCAGTGGTGCTGGAGTATCACTGACTGACTGAGGGCTGACTAGCCACTCATGTAGGGGAATTCCACTTACTGTACTTGGAACTATTTCATTCAGAAAGACACACTGAGTCTTACAAATTTAGGAACTAATTGTCAGAGCTTGATTCTTGTTGTTCCCCCATCCACTCATGACATTTGAAGTAAAAATGTCCCCCTAATTTAATAGTGGAGAAGATCATAGAGTCGAGTTTGCTTTCAACCTTAATCTGAACTTTATTTCTTTTGAAATGTATTTGCCAACATCTAGTAGATTACAGACCCTGTTTGGCCTTTCTCGCGTACTGACATATCCAGTCACACAGGACAAATTTCAGGAAAGAACACAAAAAAATGCTTAATCAGTATGTTCTTGTTCTTATGTAAATCTATCTAAAAAAACACGATAAATTAAACACAAACAGGATCAATTTAATTCTCACTTTGAAGATGTATGTTGCTTCTTTTGCAAATACACTCATTAAAAATGAGAAAATCATTGAATATTAAAACATCAAAACAGGAAGTTAGTGGACTAAAAATATGAAAGCATTTTTGCATGACCATTGATATACTCCAAGCATATTTGAAAGTGACACACAAGCTTACTGTAACTAACTCTAGGGCTACTT